TGAGGCGCAATCAATTGCCGATTTCTGAGGCTGGTAACTCTAATGAACTTATCCTCTACAGCAGAGGTAACTCTGGGTCTTCCGTTCCTGTGGCAGTCCTCATGAAAGCCAGTTTCATCATAGTGCTTGATGGTTTTTGCGACTGCACTTGAAGAAACTTTCAAAGTTCTTGAAATTTTACGGATTAACTGACCTTCATGTCTTAAAGTAATGATGGACTGTCGTTTCTCTTTGCTTATTTGAGCTGTTCTTGCCATAATATGGACTTGGTCTTTTACCAAATAGGGCCATCTTCTGTATACCAACCCCTACCTTGTCACTACACAACTGATTGGCTCAAACGCAATAAGAAGGAAAGACATTACACAAATGAACTTTTAACAAGTCACACCTGTTAATTGAAATGCATTCCAGGTGACTACCTCATGAAGCTGGTTGAGAGAATGCCACGAGTGTGCAAAGCTGTCATCAAGGCAAAAGGTGGCTACTTTGAAGAATCTCATATAAAATATATTTTTATTTGTTTAACACTTTTTTGGTTACTACATGATTGCATATGTGTTATTTCATAGTTTTGATGTCTTCACTATTATTCTACAATGTAGAAAATATTACAAATAAAGAAAAAACCTGGAATGAGTAGGTGTGTCCAAACTTTTGACTGGTACTATATATATATATATATATATATATATATATATATATATATATATATATATATATATATATATATATATATATACACACACTGCTCAAAAAAATAAAGGGAACACTTAAACAACACAATGTAACTCCAAGTCAATCACACTTCTGTGAAATCAAACTGTCCACTTAGGAAGCAACACCGATTGACAATACATTTCACATGCTGTTGTGCAAATGGAATAGACATCAGGGGGAAATTATAGGCAATTAGCAAGACACCCCCAATAAAGGACTGGTTTTGCAGCTGGTGACCACAGACCACTTCTCAGTTCCTATGCTTCCTGGCTGATGTTTTGGTCACTTTTGAATGCTGGTGGTGCTTTCACTCTAGTGGTAGCATGAGACGGAGTCCACAACCCACACAAGTGGCTCAGGTAGTGCAGCACATCCAGGATGGCACATCAATGCGAGCTGTGGCAAGAAGGTTTGCTGTGTCTGTCAGCGTAGTGTCCAGAGCATGGAGGCGCTACCAGGAGACAGGCCAGTACATCAGGAGACGTGGAGGAGGCCGTAGGAGGGCAACAACCCAGCAGCAGGACTGCTACCTCCGCCTTTGTGCAAGGAGGAGCAGGAGGAGCACTGCCAGAGCCCTGCAAAATGACCTCCAGCAGGCCACAAATGTGCATGTGTCTGCTCAAACGGTCAGAAACAGACTCCATGAGGGTGGTATGAGGGCCCGACGTCCACAGGTGGGGGTTATGCTTACAGCCCAACACCGTGCAGGACGTTTGGCATTTGCCAGAGAACACCAAGATTGGCAAATTCGCCACTGGCGCCCTGTGCTCTTCACAGATGAAAGCAGGTTCACACTGAGCACGTGACAGACGTGACAGAGTCTGGAGACGCCGTGGAGAACGTTCTGCTGCCTGCAACATCCTCCAGCATGACCGTTTTGGCGGTGGGTCAGTCATGGTGTGGGGTGGCATTTCTTTGGGGGGCCGCACAGCCCTCCATGTGCTCGCCAGAAGTAGCCTGACTGCCATTAGGTACCGAGATGAGATCCTCAGACCCCTTGTGAGACCATATGCTGGTGCGGTTGGCCCTGGGTTCCTCCTAATGCAAGACAATGCTAGACCTCATGTGGCTGGAGTGTGTCAGCAGTTCCTGCAAGAGGAAGGCATTGATGCTATGGACTGGCCCGCCTGTTCCCCAGACCTGAATCCAATTGAGCACATCTGGGACATCATGTCTCGCTCCATCCACCAACGCCACGTTGCACCACAGACTGTCCAGGAGTTGGCGGATGCTTTAGTCCAGGTCTGGGAGGAGATCCCTCAGGAGACCCCTCCGCCACCTCATCAGGAGCATGCCCAGGCGTTGTAGGGAGGTCATACAGGCACGTGGAGGCCACACACACTAGTTAGCCTCATTTTGACTTGTTTTAAGGACATTACATCAAAGTTGGATCAGCCTGTAGTGTGGTTTTCCACTTTAATTTTGAGGGGGACTCCAAATCCAGACCTCCATGGGTTGATAAATTTGATTTCCATTGATAATTTTTGTGTGATTTTGTTGTCAGCACATTCAACTATGTAAAGAAAAAAGTATTTAATAAGATTATTTAATTCATTCAGATCTAGGATGTGTTATTTGAGTGTTCCCTTTATTTTTTTGAGCAGTGTATTTATATATATATATATATAACCGTTCAAAAGTTTGGGGTCACTTAGAAATGTCCTTGTTTTCTAAAGAAAAGCAATTTTTTTGTCCATTAAAATAACATAAAATTGATCCGAAATACAGTGTAGACATTGGTAATGTTGTAAATGGCTATTGTAGCTGGAAATGGCTGATTTTATTGGAATATCTACATAGGCATACAGAGGCCCATTATCAGCAACCATCAGTCCTGTGTTCCAATGGCACGTTGTGTTTGCTAATTGCTAATCCAAGTTTATCATTTTAAAAGGCTAATTGATCATTAGAAAACCCTTTTGCAATTATGTTAGCACAGCTGAAAACTGTTGTGCTGATTAAAGAAGCAATAAAACTGCCCTTCTTGAGACTAGTTGAGTATCTGGAGCATCAGCAATTGTGGGTTTCGATTACAGGCTCAAAATGGCCAGAAACAAAGAACTTTCTTCTGAAACTCGTCAGTCTATTCTTGTTCTGAGAAATGAAGGCTATTCCATGCGAGAAATTGCCAAGAAACTGAAGATCTCGTACAACGCTGTGTACTACTCCCTTCACAGAACAGCGCAAACTGGCTCTAACCAGAATAGAAAGAGGAGTGGGAGGCCCTGGTGCACAACTGAGCAAGAGGACAAATACATTAGTGTCTAGTTTGAGAAACAGACGCCTCACAGGTCCTCAACTGGCAGCTTCATTAAATAGTACCCACAAAACACAAGTCTCAATGTCAACAGTGAAGAGGCGACTCCGGGATGCTGACCTTCTAGGCAAAGTTGCATAGAAAAAGCCATATCTCAGACTGGCCAATAAAAAGAAAAGATTAGATGATTAGTCTGAGATATGGCTTTTTCTTTGCAACTCTGCCTAGAAAGTCAGCATCCCGGAGTCGCCTCTTCACTGTTGACGTTGAGACTGGTGTTTTTGACGATATATCGTATTATATCTTTTTGACAATATCGCAATATTATTTTTGCGCTAGTTGGCTGTACCTGCACCAAAACTCCAGTATTTTTCCTTCAGAGCTTGTTCTCCATCTTCTTTTTAAATAGGGAGCCAATTTGTTTTCAGCACTTTTATTTCCATGACTGATCAAAACTCGTTTCTCATAGCTCCCTCTTGTCCCTCTGCAGCAGACATATGGTGAACAATATGTTTGGAACATCGAATCACAATAAAATCACAGTATTGAATGACAATACATATCATATCGACACCTAAGTATCTTGATAATATCTTATCTTGAGGTCCCTGGCAATTCCCAGCCCTAGTCACGATACAACTGCATCTTGCTGTCAAGGTTAAACACTTAATTACAATTTCTAGCAAAAAAATGTAGTGCACATGTGTATTCATTACGTCGATTCTGTTGCAAAACCTCTCCTCTGTTGCAAAACGTTTTGCAACAGAAACCGTTTACTCCAAAGGGGAGACAGTTCGCAACGAAAACGAGAGTTTCTATTGGACAAATTCAGGTAGGGCCCTCCATTTTCCTATATTTACTTCCGGTTGGTTCTTAAACGGTAAACTGTTCCCGTTGCAAGACGTAATGAATACACCCCAGGGCTGTAATCATTAGTCCAAAGAGTAGCGTTTCGCAACGAAAACAATAGTTTATATTGGACAAATTCACGTAGGTCCCCCCTTTCATTCCCAGTGAATACACCCCAGCTTTACCGCTATACTGTCATTTTGATAGTTTGCAGTGGATAGTATTTGAAAGCGTCACAACTGTACATAATGCAACTCAAAGCACGGAAGACATGGCACATGAGTATACATTCCAACGGAGTAGCATATACATTGGCCACTGTTTGCAAAAAGCGTACAACATATCTCGCGCAAATATATCGATTGCCTTTTAAATGTATATGGAATATGCAGCTAATATAACTTGACAATGCATTGTATTTCATATGACAAAAAGGGGACCGATATTTACCCATTGTTTTGCTTGAAATCGACAGTTCGTCACCTCGACATAAAAACAGTTCATTTCCGGGTTGTCAATTCTAACCACTCCTCTGAAAGCGAACGGGCCAATCGCCAAAAATGAGTGCCCAGCAGCAAGCAAGTTTAGCCAATTGCATTAGGTCGCTGATTAATCGAGGGTAACTAACGTAGTACGCTACAGCGAGGTAAATATGAAAATCACGGCGGGTAACAACCGGGTTAAGCGCGAGGGAAGATACCTCAACCGAACAGTCGGAGATGACGTTACAGCATCTCGATCAATCAACACTGCACATTTGCAGACGGATAGCTGCTTAAGCCAATCGTATCTCTTCAAAGGGCGGGCTACTAGCTATTCCACGTATTCATCAAAACTGGAAACTGATGGTTGTAGTTACCGACCTAACAACCAACTTCTCTACATCCACTTTTACTTTTTAACGATACACATGGAAAATATAATTTATTTTGAAAAACCATGTCTATAAGCCAATGGTGACAGTATATTTTTTAAATAATTGTACAGCATAGTTTTCGAGACAACAGACAAGTACAAGAAGAGAGCAACTCGGAGTGATTGTGATAACAAACAGCATAAAAACAGTAGCTAGCAAGCTAACGTTAAGTAATTAATACCTGTGAGGCCATTTGAGTAATGTTTTAGCAAGCTAACCGAAAAGACAGTTCAGTTTTCAGTGAGACGAACTAGCAAAATGGATTATAAGAGCAAAAAGTCCACTCTGTCCGGGGAAAAATCACAGGGATCTGGTCATGAAAGTGACAAGCCACAGCAGAAAAACTCGATGTCAAGAGTTGATGCTGGTCATGGTGGTGGGATCATTCACTGCCCTGTTACCAAAAACATGAAACACCTCCTGGATGAGTTCAAGGGGCTGTATGAGGATAGGTTGAGACGCCTACAGTTTGACACCAGAGGGGGCACAAAGGAGGACATTTTACAGGTAGGTGAACCTGGTGAAGTGTCACTTAATCCCACAGCAGGTCATTTTCTATCCTCATGTCTTGAGTAGGGTAATGGCTAGATAGGATACCGTTTATATCAAATTGATGTACATTTTATTTCTTGCATTTTAGCTAACCCTAACCCTTTTCCTAACCTTAACCTAATGCCCTAAATAACCTAAACCTTAACCCCACCCTCTGCAAGGTTGCTGCCAGTTTAAGACCCGTGTGTCCCTCTCTCAACTGCTACAATATATGGCGTTATATCAATTCACATAACACTAAAGCTGGCAACATAGCTAGGTAGCCACTTGGACATGGCCACTCAATTTACTGTATTAGCACTCCCTCCTCTGCATAAGCCTACTCCTTCTCTGTAACCGATTGTGACAAATAGAAAAGATCAAAACAATATCTGCAGTCAGAGAGCACAATGATGATGATCATTGCTAGACAAATGTCAGGGAAGCACAGAGCTGGTTTTATGAAGCCACAGCACTTGTAACAGGTGGTGAATTACATTAGTTGTCCATCTGAGCAGCTGAAACAGAGACGTGGACCAGCAGCCTTGTTTAAAAGCATTCTAATCATCAGGGCTTGTCATGTGAGATCATTTAGACACAGCCTGTAAGTCAGGGGGCTGTACATCAAAGGAAATGTAACAAGGTTTCAAAGATGGGCTTTGGTCAATTGGTCCAGTACTGGAGATATCTAACAAGGTTAGCCATAACCCAAGGATGACGTGGACAGTCACTCTTCAACCTCCTGCTCTCCAAATGTAAGCCTAGGCCGTATATGTGACTGACTAGGTTTCAACCTTGGGTCGCCTACGTGCTGCAAGACTGTGTTAGCTACTGAGCTAAATCCTAGGCATCATGTGAGCATGGTGACACTGATTTTGATGTCGAAGGCAGGGAAACCTCATCACAAGACCATGAGGCAGACTCACGTCTGCTACACAGGCATAACATATTTATAACGTAGGCTATTTATAACAACATTGTAAGATATTTGAGAATCAGATTGAGAGATTGACGTGAAGCCGAGACCTAGACCCTGGCCTAGGCCCAGGCCTGGCCTACATAAAAACAGTAAGTAAGGACACCAGCATCTCTCTAGACTGTCTGTCAATACAAGGGTTACTGTGCACCTTTTAGAAAATAACATGTTAGCACATTACTACCAACATAACGAACAAAAGCAGTTGTTGACGTCAAGAGGCCTTTTGTCTATGTTCTGTTGTTGAAAATGCCTTTCATGATGAAAACATCATTAATGTACGAACAGTATGTTCCCATATTGGCAGTGCAATTTAAAACCATTCACAAACACACGCAACGCAACATGTCTGCAACTTATCTGTTCTTTACAAAGACACACAACATAGCATCTAGGCTACTTATCTGTTATTCACAGAGACACACAACATCACATGTAGTTATCACATCTGTTATTCTGTTGTTGTGTTTGTAGATGAAGGTCCATATCCTCCAGTCCTATGTGAACGACTTGGGTGACCAGAACCAAGTGCTGGTCCAGACAGTGGAGGACCTGGAAATAGAAGCCAACAACAGAGACTGCACCATAGAGGCCAAGCTATGCACCTCTGATCAAATCATTCATGTAAGCCTAATTTCTCTTTTCTTCCTTTGTGTTAGGCCTACGTTTCCCTCCCTCCATCCCTGCTTTGTGTATGGAATGGAATGCTTTTGCCTTCAGCTGGCTCGTGAGTGGCGGTGGGCTTGCCTGCCTATAGATTTGATATGTGAATGTAATTTTACACAGCCTCATTGTTGGAATCTAATCATGGCAGAATGCTAGAGACATTCAAGGGCTAATCAATGACAACATAAAGAGCATGATCACTCATTTAAGGCCCTTTCTCACCAAGTCTGTTATTTTCATCCGAATAATTCAGAAGAAACAAATAAATATGAGCACGTCTTGTTTATGAAACCGTTTACACCAATTGTAAAATATTGTCCTGCCGCAATCCGTCAATTATTTATTCGGAACCGGTTTTGATTTTTGCATGTGAAAATAAGCTGTTGACCAATAGAAATTGTTATCTGGGACTCTGCCACTGACAGTCCGCACACTGCCACTGACAGGTTTGTGGGTTCTTTGTGTGAATGAATGAATTAATGAATTTTTTACATTTGCAATGCATCAGTGCAGCAATGTATCAATTTAGCCAATGTGATCACACCAGAGATACACGTCGCTCTCGCCATTCAAACTTCCCTGCTAGTTCATTGCCAATGCTGTAGCCTATTTTATAGCCATTCAGCAAGCAACAGGATCGATTGATGCTTCTCTCCTCGAATAGGCCTAGACCTATTTGTAAAGATTGCTCGAAATAAGTTTCAAACGACATTGCTGTTCATTAGGGCAGCAGGTAGCCTAGCGGTTAAGAACGTTGGGCCGTTTGCCATGAAATGAGCAGCGGCAGTAAAGAACCATCACTAGACCTACACATTAGACAGCACATTCCTCACTCGCTAGACGCGCAATTAAAGGGCCAGATGCGCAATTAAAGGGAAATTACATTTAAAAATGTATTAGTTTTCTTCCAGACCTAAATAAAATGGTCTTCTGTTGTGATTTAAGCATTGCCATGGACTCAGAACATCCCATTTTGTTGTTTCTCTATGAACAGTTGTAATTTTGAGAGTGAAACATTAAATATAAAAACAGGAAAAATAAAACAGAGAGAACATAATTTGGGAAAATATAAAACATATTTTTTTGTGGGGTGGAAATCACAGATTTTATAGAGTTGTTTATTAACCATTATTTTACCAGGTATATTGACAGAAAACATAGTGCACTACTTTCTCTTGTACACTAAGGACCCAGCGAAAGAGTTGTAGGGGAGAGGAGAAGAATGGGTCTATTTGAAAGCTAGAAAAAAAAAAGTAGCTCACGACATGTTAAAAAAAAATAAAGTAACTCTCATGCTACATTTTACATTATTATTTTTTAAACATTTTTAGTCATTTAGCAGACGCTCTTATCCAGAGCAACTTACAGTTAGTGAGTGCATACATAATTTTTTTATTTTTCATACTGGCCCCCCGTGGGAATCGAACCCACAACCCTGGTGTTGCAAACGCCATGCTCTATCAACTGAGCTACATCCCTGCCGGCCATTCCCTCCCCTACCCTGGACGTCGCTGGGCCAATTGTGCGCCGCTCCATGGGTCTCCCGGTCACGGCCGGCTACGACAGAGCCTGGATTCGAACCAGGATCTCTAGTGGCACAGCTAGCACTGCGATGCAGTGCCTTAGACCACTGCGCCACTCGGGAGATATCAGGCCTTCATCAGGCCTTCATGGTCGAATTGCTGCAAAGAAACCACTACTAAAGGACACCAATAAGAAGAAGAGACCTGCTTGGGCCAAGAAACACGATTAATGGACATTAGACCGGTGGAAATTTGTCCTTTGGTCTGGAGCCCAAATTTGAGATTTTTGGTTCCAACCGCCGTGTCTTTGTGAGACGTGGTGTGGGTGAACGGATGATCTCCGCATGTGTAGTTCCCACGTAAAGCATGGAGGAGGAGGTGTTATGGTGTGGGGATGCTTTGCTGGTGACACTGTATGTGTTTTATTTAGAATTCAAGGCACACTTAACTTGCATGGCTACCACAGCATTCTGCAGCGATACGCCATCCCATCTGGTTTGGCTTAGTGGGACTATCATTTGTTTTTCGACAGGACAATGACCCAACACACCTCCAGGCTGTGTAAGAGCTATTTTACCAAGAAGGAGAGTGATGGAGTGCTGCATCAGAAGACCTGGCCTCCACAATCCCCCGACCTCAACCCAATTGAGATGGTTTGGGAGGAGTTGGACCGCAGAGTGAAGGAAAAGCAGCCAACAAGTGCTCAGCATATGTGGGAACTCCTTCAAGACTGTTGGAAAAGCATTCCAGGTGAAGCTGGTTGAGAGAATGCCAGAGTGTGCAAAGCTTTCATCAAGGCAAAGGGTGGCTATTTGAAGAATCTGAAATATAAAATATATTTTGATTAGTTTAACACTTTTTTTGGTTACTACATGATTCCATATGTGTTATTTCATAGTTTTGATGTCTTCACTATTATTTTACAATGTAGAAAATAGTAAAAATAAAGAAAAACCCTTCAATGAGTAGGTGTGTCCAAACTTTTGACTGGTAGTGTATGTATTTCTTTCTTTCTTCCTTTCATCTCTAATTAGTGAATGTGATTGGCCCTGGTAGAAAATGAATCAACAATAGGTGGTTCCTTCTCAGGAATGATTGAATGATCTTTTCAGAGAGCAGCAGGGATAGCAGTGTGTTGTAAGACAGAGACAGCATCCTTCATAACCCCTGATCATGTGGATAACAGAGTGTGGGCCTAAATCCTTGATACATGAAATATGTATGCTATCTCTCTCATTATGTTGCTAGTGACCTCTGTTTAACATGCACATAGCTGATCTATATGTTTGAATTATTAATTAATAACCATATATTGAATTATTCACTTCTGTGTATTTGTATTGATGTTGTTTCTTGAGGGGTAAACTAACTCCATTGACAGTGATGGACTACATTTCTATATGCCTGTTGTTTTTGTTGGTGAGTTGAGTTGTGAAGACGTCCAGCCCTTCATTGATTGTGTAATAAATATAAAAACAATATGGATGAATATACGCCTGTCTTAAGGTCACTGAACGTCAAAGCAATATGTAATTGGCTGAAATCTACATGTTTTAGAATGATCCCAGACTAGTGTCCATCCAATAACATGTCTGTCTTCTATCCTATTGCCTTTGTCTGGCTATGGGCCAGTACAGGCCTCTGTTCTCTCTTTCAGGCCCATTTATTCTATCATCACACCATACTAACATACTATTTAGATACTTTTAATAAAGTGCTTATATTCCAGGAACTATACCAGTCCTTACTTAACAGTGTATAGTTATACAACTTACAACAGCATGTGTAGTAACCTAACAAATACACAGCAGAAACTAATACAGCATTATTGGATTTATTCTGGTTTATTAGTCAGGTAACTAGATTTAGAGTCATTAGGCAAGGTATAAAGTTCTGTTGATGTTCTCTAGTATCTCTAGACTGGATCCGGTGGTGAATTAGATTGTCAGTAAGGAATGAACTGTCCCCACAGTATATTACACACATGTCCCCTCAGCGTTGAGGAAGCTTCTCTCTACTAATGTCCATCATTGGAAATTAAACCGATTGCTGAGCATTTAGAGCTACTTATGTAAACTATGCAATGATCAGTGTAATATGAGAGGCAATGTCTGATTGAATGGTTGTGATATATTTTCTAATTACAGAACCAGTAATGTTGTGTTCTAATGGTTTTAACAGAGTCTTCTGTCCCGTGGTGATTTGTGAATGAGCTGCTACACATCAATCCACTCTCTCCATACTTCAGTGAATTACTGAAGCAGCATATTTTCTGTGTTTGTATAGCATATCATTTTTATAGGATCCAGTGGATGAAGCGTACTTCTTTATGTGTTGTTGTCAGGATCTGGAGCAGCAGAGGAGGGTTCTGGAGGAGAGTGTGTGTAGTCTGCGCTCTGAGAACCAGGACCTGAAGACTGACATGGACTCTCTCACAAACTTCATCCAACGAGCGAGACACCAAACACACCCTGGTCGTAAGTCATAGTATTCGTCTCTCTCTCTCCCTCTCTCTCTCTCTCTCTCTCTCCTCCCCTCCCCCTCCTATCCCACTCCCCTTTCTCTCTCTTTCTCTGTCCTCCTAGCTGTCTTCTACCCTGTTTGTCTCATTCTTTGTCCCTCCACCCCCATATAATCAAATAGTCTTATCAAAGCTAATTTTTCTCCCTAAGCATCGTGTGTGTGTGTGTGTGTTAATTCCCTCTGCTTGGTTCTGGCCCTGGGGGCAGTAAAGGACAGTCCAGATCACTGGGGGATCACTGAGGGATCAGGGGAGATCAGTAGAGATCTGAACACATCATTAGGGATCAGTCTATCCTTCTTTTATCCGTTGATCCTGTCCACTGATCACTCCCACTTTCCCCACCCCAGAATGACCATCCTAGTCCTATTCCATCCCACGCCCTTAGGGTAGCAGTTGCCCTTAGGCACAGATCTAGAATCATCTCAACATACCCCTAATCCTAACCACAACAGTTAAGGAAGAAAATACTAAACTGACCTTAGATGACTGTCTAGAGGCAAGTTTGTACTGCTCTTCTCCACCATTCTTATCCTATTCCCTTCCCCTCTTTCTGAGGAAAAACATTTCTCCTGGAGGACCTGAGAGAGGATACCCTATCCCAGAGGTTATCTGTCTCTTCTGCATCTGAATTGCTTGCTCTGTGGGGTTTTAGGCTGGGTATCTGGAAAGCACTTTGATTTTCACTCTCCTGTCAAACCCTGTGACAGCCATATGGCCTGTAAACGTCAGCCATAGAAATGACTAACCTCTGTAGATCTCATTGGTCATAGAAGTCCCTGGAACCAGCTGTCCTCAGAGATTTCCATTGATGAACCAGAAATTCCCATATTTTTAGTATGTGGAGAGAGAGAGAGAGAGAGAGAGAGAGGGAGGGTCATGGGGTTGCGATCGTTGATTATGCTAATACAGTTGTTAATGACTTTAGCTTTGAGTGATAATTGATCGGGATCATTAGCATATTAACTCTGGGATGGCCTGTAATGGATGGCCTCCCTGAACCCTGCAATAATGAACTGATTAGACTAATTAAAATCAATAGAGGTGCCAATAAAAGGTTAGGGCTCAGGGACCACTCTATATCTGTAAGGAGGAAAAAAGAGAGGGAGGGAGAGCGATGGGGATAGAGAATTAACAAAGAAAGAGAGAGAGAGATCGGCTGACAAAGAAAGAGAGAGAGAGACCGGCTGACAAAGAAAGAGAGAGAGGGGGAAATGGACACTGCAGTCAGAGAGAGAATGAACAAATGAACGAGAGCTAGGCAGAGAGAGCGAGAGAGAGAATGAACTAATGAGCGATAGAGAGAGGGAGAGGGTTCCTAATGCTGATTGATGTGGTCTTGACGGTGGTTAGGTGAATAAATGGCTTGTAGGAGGCCAGGCAGCATTACTCTGGCTAGGGTTGGGGGGGACTAAGTGCTTTGTAAGGTCAACCATAAGGCCCAACTTACATATGTACTGGCCTGCCCTTATAAACCTCTGTTCATATATCAGGACGGGATGGACACAGAGATGGTTGGATGGCTGTGTCTCACAGAGTGGAAGGGAAAATGCTAGCCTTGCGTTGGGCTATACTTCTCAATGGGAAAGATTTCTAAAGAGATTCTAGAAACATAGCAGGATTTTTTTTGTTTCAGTGATGAGGCATTTGCAATTGCATGCACTCTATAGGCTACATTTAGTTGAGTGTATTCTGAAAATTCTGAACATGTAACAACCTATTTAAATGACTCTGATGAAAATGACTTTACAAAAACCCAATATACACAAATATTGAGATTTTGTGTCATTTTTTCTTACAGGACAGATAAATCCAGGTTGTGTAAATAAGACTGTCTCCTTCCTCCAATCAGCATGTTTTATTTTTCTATTCCCCTTTTCATGATTTGATGTGGTGACTCATGTTGACCTCTCCTTTGTTCTCTTCCATGCCACATTTCTTCCACCTCTCCATCTTAAAACAAAGGCAAATATGGAATGAGTGTGTAAAGAGAGGGCTATTTTCTTACAGGAGGGAGGGAGGACAGAGGGAGGAGAAGAGGAGGTATGAAGGAGGACAGAGTGGGGGAAGGAGAGGGAGGACAGAGGGAGGAGAAGAGGAGGTATGAAGGAGGACAGAGTGGGGGAAGGAGAGGGAGGGGAGAGGGAGGAGAAGAGGAGGTATGAAGGAGGACAGAGTGGGGGAAGGAGAGGGAGGAGAGAGGGAAGAGAGGAGGAGGTATGAAGGAGGACAGAGTGGGGGGAGGAGAGGGAGGAGAGAGGGAAGAGAGGAGGAGGTATGAAGGAGGACAGAGTGGGGGAAGGAGAGGGAGGAGAGAGGGAAGAGAGGAGGAGGTATGAAGGAGGACAGAGTGGGGGAAGGAGAGGGAGGAGAGAGGGAAGAGAGGAGGAGGTATGAAGGAGGACAGAGTGGGGGAAGGAGGGAGAACAGAGAGAGGAGAGAAGGAGGAGGAGGGGGATGGAAAGAGCAGCATTAGAGGACAAAGGTCTAGAAACGTCTGACCTGATTTGGGACTTTAATTGCTTCTCTGACCTTGACTGGCCACTTTCAGCCTCACACTCCTTTTTCCCCCCTTGTTTCTTTACCTCCATTGTTTCTGTCTCAGAACTGGACACATTTTTTATCCTTTCATCCCCCCCTCTCGACAATATTGAATAGTTTCTTACTTTCCTTGATTCCTTTTATTTATGACCACTGCTCTGAAAGGAAACTTATCTAGTCCAGTGTCCTATCAGTAGTGGATAGGTGAAGGAGAGACTGGGGAAGGAAGGGATGGGTCCATGTCTCATCGGGATATATTTGTGTTGAAACTGATCATGGAAAGTAATCTGTGTGATGTGACGTCCATTTTGCGCGTTCGTACAAGCATGTGTGTGTGTGTGTGTGTGTGTGTTTGTGTGTGTTCTGCTGACCATTACTTTAATAGTATTTCATCTCATAGCCCTTTTTTTCATGATGGAGTGGTGTTAGCTCTACACACACACACACCCCCTGTGCGGTCCGTCCCTCTAACAAATGAGTTTACCCTGGTCATAACCTTCACACAGCTCATTACCAGAGATTGCATGCCTTTTCATAAAGCCGGAGACCTGCTGTGAAGGATCACACACAAACACACACACAAACGGGGGGACATATTCCGGAACGGGGGGACATATCCACTGCCCGTAAATTACTCCCCCACTCTCTCATACATACATACATACATACATACATAGTTAATCAGCTAATGTTGTTTTATTTCTTATTATTCATTTACATCGCTGTCTGATTTATCTAAATGACTGGTGCTCTCATTCATGAACACATTTGTATTATGTCTCTATTTACATGGCTACTTTAGTATTGGGTTTAGACCATATGGGGGGTCTAAACCAAATACTACCAAATAATGTTTTATGAGATTGGAGTACACGTTGGGAGGTATCTTAGACCATTGCTCCATACAGAATCTTTCCAGATCATTGATATCCTTCATCTGCTCTTGAGGACTGCCCTCTTCAATTCAAACCACAGGTTTTCAATGGGGTTCAAGTCCGGAGACTGAGATGGCAATTGCAAAATGTTGATTTTGTGGTCAATTAACAATTTTCTTTGTGGATCTTGATGTGTGCTTTGGGTCATTGTCTTGCTGGAAGATCCACTTGTGGCCAAGTTTCAGCCTTCTGGCAGAGGCAACCCAGGTTTTTGGCTAAAATGTCCTGATACTTGGTAGAGTTCATGATCCTGTTGACCTTAAGCAGGGGGTCCCAGGACCAGTGGAAGTAAAAGCCCCATAACATCAAAGATCCAGCACCGTATTTTGCAGTATGTATGATAACTTTTCTGCATATGCTTCTGTTTTTCAACGCCAAACCCACCGCTGGTGTGTGTAGCCAAAGAGCTCTATCGGACCATACCATAGAAACGTTTGGGAACCACTGGCATAGTGTACTACTCACCTTAATAATGGAAGAAGGTCAAAGCTCCTACTCTGGAGCAGTGCAGGCATATACACACAATATGCTCTATTAGCCACTGACCTCTGTGAAGGCTCATACATGCACAAGAAGGTGCACACACATGCTAAGACACGTGCACACACACACACACACACACACCCTGACCTCTGTGTCTGTGGGGTCATCTCATTGTTGCAGACTGGATTTAATTATAAGGGGAATGTGTGATTTAGTTTTTTATTCTGTTGAAAAACAGATTGTGTCTATAGGGAAAACACACACCTACACATTCACAAAAAACACTTTAGACCTTACAATGACAGTAAACTAGAATCTCCGTTTATAGTTTGGTCAGGAAAGCTAATGTCACTTTAATTCTTTTTTCAAAGCCACGATTGAATGCAGCTCTGATTTTCTGTATATTTCATGCTTGTTTGTTTGTTTGTTGTTTACCTCAAGACAATACTACTCTTGGGCCATGACCTAAAAGCAGTAACAACAGAATAACAGCACACAGAGTCCTCGTACTTACAGCATGAAATATTAACCTGTTGCTAATGGACATGGACAGGATATCTGGTCCTTTTGCATTCAACACCGTAGAGCCCAAAAAAGCTCATTCTAAGCTAAGGACCCTGGGACTAAACACCTCCCTCTGCAACTGGATCCTGGACTTCCTGACGTGCCGCCCCAGGTTAGGGTAGGAAACAACACATTTGCTATGCTGATCCTCAACACGGGAGCCCCTCAGGGGTGCGTGCTTAGTCCCCTCCTGTACTCCCTGTTCACTCACGACTGCGTGGCCAGGCACGACTCCAACACCATCATTAAGTTTGCTGACGACACAACAGTGTTAGGCCTTATCACCAACAACAATGAGACTATAGACTATAGGGAGGAGGTCAGAGACCTGGCAGAGTGGTGCCAGGACATCAACCTCTGCTTCAACGTGAGCAAGACAAAGGAGCTGATTGTGGACTACAGGAAAAGGAGGGCCAAACACGCCCCCATTCACATCGACGGGACTGTAGTGGAGCGGGTCGAGAGCTTCAAGTTCCTTGGTGTCCACATCACCAACAAACTATCATGGTCCAAACACACCAAGACAGTCGTGAAGAGGGCACGACAATGCCTATTCCCCCTCAGGAGACTGAAAAGATTTGGCATGGGTCCCCAGATCCTCATACAGTTCTACAGCTGCACCATCGAGAGCATCCTGGCCGGTTGCACCATTTACATTTACATTTTAGTCATTTAGCAGACGCTCTTATCCAGAGTGAGTGCATACATTTTTCATATTTTTTTATTTATATATATATTTTTTTTCATACTGACCCCCCGTGGGAATCGAACCCACAACCCTGCCGTTGCAAGTGCCATGCTCTACCAACTGAGCTACAGGAGCCCTGGTATGGCAACTGCTCGGCATCCAACCTTAAGGCGCTACAGAGCGTAGTGCGTACGGCCCAGTACATCACTGGGGCCAAGCTTCCTGCCATCCAGGACCTCTATACTAGGCATGTCAGAGGAAAGCCCAAAAAATTGTCAAAAGACTCCAGCCACCTAAGTCACAGACTGTTTTCTCTGCTACCGCACGGCAAGCGGTACCGGAGCGCCAAGTCTAGGTCCAAAAGGCTCCTGAACAGCTTCTACCCCCAAGCCATAAGACTGCTTGCTGAACAATTTCATTTTTTACTTGAGTTCATTTAGTAAATATTTTCTTAACTCTCATTTTCTTAAAACTGCATTGTTGGTTAAGGGCTTGTAAGTAAGCATTTGGCGCATGTGACGAAACATTTTTGATTTGATTTTCCTTTCCCAATGTGATCCACTCCCACTGTGTGGATCACCAGTATACTAATGCTCAAGTTGGTGTTTGTGGGGGCATAAGCACAGCCTTACGTAGGCAATTCTCTCTCTCTCTCTCTCGCTTGCTCGCTCGCGCACACACACACACACACCCTGCTGACCTGTGAGTCGTTTCCGTCAGCATTGATTTCCGTTTCCTAGAGCGACCCCTGTCACCACGGCGATAGAGTGCATGCTGGGTCGTATTTCACCAGCGCTACTGTCGGCAAGACAACGACAGCTTCCACCCCCAGACAGCGCTGAGAGTGTCTCCCTCTATCTCTCTCTCGCTCTCTCTCTCTCACACACACACACATACACACACACACACACACACACACACACACACACACACACACACACACACACACACACACACACACACATATATATACAGTACCAGTCAAAAGTTTGGACACACCTACTCATTCAAGGGTTTTTCTTTATTTTTACTATTTTCTATATTGTATAATAAAGTGAAGACATCAAAAATATGAAATAACACATATGGAATCATGTAGTAACCAAAAACGTGTTAAACAAATCAAAATATATTTAGATTCTTCAAAGTAGCCACCCTTTGCCATGATGACAGCTTTTGCCACTCTTGGCATTCTCTCAACCAGCATCATGAGGAATGCTTTTCCAACAGGCTAGAAGGAGTTCCCACATATGCTGAGCACTTGTTGGCTGCTTTTCCTTCACTCTGCGGTCCAACTCATCCCAAACCATCTCAATTGGGTTGAGGTCGGGGGATTGTGGAGCCCAGGTCATCTGATGCAGCACTCATCACTTTCCTTTGTCAAATAGCCCTTACACAGCCTGGGGGTGTGCTTTGGGTCATTGTCCTGTTGAAAAACAAATGATAGTCCCACTAAGCGCAAACCAGATGGGATGGCGTATCGCTGCAGAATGCTGTGGTAGCCATGCTGGTTAAGTGTGCCTTGAATTCTAAATAAAACACTGACAGTGTCACCAGAAAGCACCATCACACCTCCTCCTCCATGCTTCACGGTGGGAACCACACATGCAGAGATCATCCGTTCACCTACTCTGCGTCTCACAAAGACACAGCGGTTGGAACCAAAAATCTCAAATTTGGACTCATCAGTCCAAAGGACAAATTTCCACCGGTCTAATGTCCATTGCTCGTGTTTCTTGGCCCAAGCAAGTCTCTTCTTCTTATTGGTGGCCTTTAGTAGTGGTTTCTTTGCAGCAATTCGACCATGAAGGCCTGATTCACACAGTCTCCTCTGAATAGTTGATGTTGAGATGTGTCTGTTACTTGAACTCTGTGAGGAATTTATTTGGGCTGCAATCTGAGGTGCAGTTAACTCTAATGAACTTATCCTCTGCAGCAGAGGTAACTCTGGGTC